TTTTGAACATTAAAGCATGTCAACATATTCTGTTACACCAAATACACAAAATAATGATCTTTAAAAAAGCATCATATGACTCCTTTAATAATAAGTTAAATAAGTTAACTTGGCTCACGTGCACCTGGTAAGCCAATCAGTGGCTCTGATGTAATTTGGTGCTCATCTGTGTCTGATAACAAGGGCATGTTTGTGTTGTGTTCCTGTGCCGCTTCAGACCAAACCGAAAGTGAAAGCATTTACGTGGAACAGGAAGAAGGCTGAAACAGCAGCATTTACAATGTGCTTTTCGCAGTAAGTACATCAATAATTTTGCTTTATCGCTCAGATGATTTGATATAATATGCATTGGGGATATACACGTTTTGTATTTTGCATCACACGTGTTAAATATGTGCAAACTATCATAACGTTTTAATACGTTTTATAACACGTTTAATATCTTAATAACACGTTTAGTAAATCTTTCATTTAGTCTAGGAAGAAGTTGTGTTTTTTAACACGAGAATGCCATGTTGTTAGTTCGTTTTGAATAGAAGTTAACAAAAATCAGACCATGTTCCGAACAACCGTGTTTTGTTTTTCTTTTTTACTTGACTTTAAACATTTAACCCTGTAAAGGGCATTATATAGAGATGATCTACCCTTAAGAAAAAATAAACCAATCGGCCCGTCACTGAAGTGTACAGCGCGCCAGACGTGGCCCGGATTCATTTTTAATATCTACTATACTGTTCAGTAATCTTTCATTTAAAATTTATATGCAGCGCAAGCGTTTACTTTCATTTTCATTATATAGATTAAAATTGCATTTGTCATAATGAGACATTTATATATTTGTTACGTCGTCTTATTTATGTATTGTAAAGTAACTCACTTGATTACGTTGGCATGAGGACATTTTTTTTTTACACAATGTATTTACAAAATTATGCAATTACAGCAAAAAAAAGAAGAAAAAAAACACAATGACAACAGAAGTTGTTATACAGAAAGTGTATATAAAACGTCACATTTTGCAGAATTACCCTTACATTAACTTATACTTGAATTGTAAAATTTAACAAGTATAAACATCAAAGACTTAACAATTTACAATATGGTTTCTTTTGTTAACATAGTTACCTACCTAACGTGAACTAGCAATGTCAAATACTTCTAAAGCATATAGGTAATGTTAATTTCAACACTTACTTATACATTATTAAAAACAGAAGATTTTAGCTAACATGAACTAACAAAGAACTGCTGTTTTCTAATTACCTAACAGTAACAAAGATTAATATTGTAACAAATATACAGTGGGTACGGAGAGTATTCAGACCCCCTTAAATTTTTCACTCTTTGTTATATTGGAGCCATTTGCTAAAATCATTTAAGCAAATTTTTTTTCCTCATTAATGTACACACAGCACCCCATATTGACAGAAAAACACAGAATTGTTGACATTTTTGCAGATTTATTAAAAAAGAAAAACTGAAATACCACATGGTCCTAAGTATTCAGACCCTTTGCTCAGTATTTAGTAGAAGCACCCTTTTGATCTAATACAGCCATGAGTCTTTTTGGGAAAGATGCAACAAGTTTTTCACACCTGGATTTGGGGATCCTCTGCCATTCCTCCTTGCAGATCCTCTCCAGTTCTGTCAGGTTGGATGGTAAACGTTGGTGGACAGCCATTTTTAGGTCTCTCCAGAGATGCTCAATTGGGTTTAAGTCAGGGCTCTGGCTGGGCCATTCAAGAACAGTCACAGAGTTGTTGTGAAGTTTGTTTGGGAGCTTTCATTTCTGCACATGTAAAGAGCAAATAATATACAAGTATCTATTAGTAAAGGTCTATCTGAATGTGCCAAAATGAATGAAATTAAATATACATGTTGCAATGTACATGTTGTTTAACAGAGTATTTACTACGGTGGCCCAGTAGTGCACAACACAACAGCAATGCTCCCGACCACTAGGGAGCAGTGTTGACAGTTAAACGCTGAGAATTTCTTGTGGTGTCTCGAGAAAATATTAATGTAAGTCATTGATCTTAATATGTGTAATCGATTTTTAAATGAACAACGTGTTTTTACTGAATGTTTTGATATCCTGGTAATCTTAATGTATCGATTCATGAATCGAGCAGAAAATAAATCAATATTATTTTCGATTTGGACAGTTTAGCTCTGCTCTTGCGCACGTTTCTGCAGACCAACTGCCCCCTAGTGGTCGGGAGCATTTCCGTTGTGTTGCAGCTTAATTGCGTTGTGTTGTGCACTACTGGGCCACCGTAATTTACAGCACTAATTGCAATGATAGCACAATAAGTGACTGTGCCTAGCATGTTTACTATTTAGTGTGTAGCATGCTAATTACAGAGACCAGATGAAAATCATTTACTCCCCTTCATGTTGTCCATAACTGACAAACTCGTTGGTTTTGATTACCAGAATTCTAAAAGTATCTTCTTTTGAGTACTGAAAAAAAAAAAAAAGTCAGAGATTTAAAAAAAAAAAAAAAAAAAAAAAAAGGATGTAAATAATGACAGAATTCTGGGTTAACTACACTTTTAAGTAAATTAATAGAAACACTTTTCACTAGTCATCGCTGTGCAGAAAAATAACAGTGAACGCTGCAATAAAATGCTTGAAAAATACACGTTCAGCAGATTCAGCAAAGCTTGCCGTCAATCAGTAGGTCTCTTCAGTTAATATTCCCCCAGTTGCTGCAGAAAATAACATGGTGTAATGATCGTGCTGACATTTACTTGAACTTACCAACTTTCTCATCAGCTCTAACAGCTCCTTGCTAGTCCAGTCAGAGAAGTATAATAAAGATGAAGTCCACTGACTCCAAGCACTGCTCGGTGTTCACAGCTGTCTGAGGACTTTCTTCAGTGATGATAACACTGCTCTGGATTACTACAAAACATAGAAATAGAAATTTGAGGCACGTTAAGAGAAATAATCAGTTATTCCTGTGCATCTCTACATGCTGAGTGAAGAAGCATCTAAAGTAGCAACAATTCATGAACTGTGATGCAGTCAGTTACATGTGTTTGGGCAGAGGTGAGCATCTGTACATGTACAGTCTGCTTACATTTAGCAGCTGTAAAAGCAGGACAGATCTACTGCAGATGATCTCAGACATACTGATGCATATTAACATGATTGCAGTACATTTCTCGTCTTAAAATCACTGAAACTAGCTTATTATTAGCATATGTATTTAGTTGAAAACAATGATTTCTCTAATACATACAAATCATCTTCTATCATGTCATTTAACGATGCTTACCAAAATTGCTTTATCGAAATGACCTCATACATCCATATCTTTTGTTACATAATCCATTGATTTGTTTGCGTCCAAACCGCACAAACATGACAGACATCGCCCAGGAGCACAGGTACGAGACTCCTCCCACACTGCTCGAGTGCAGGTGAATGAATCACCTAGAGCGCAATGAAGCACATTTAAACTACACACAAGCACACGTGTAAAAGAATGACCTGCTGCGTTGCATAAATAGATTTGCTATTGTCATAAATATTAAATAATATTCTGTCCTATAAAGCACTTTTAATATTGTTTTATTATTTAAGTTTTACCGTAGATATTTAGTTTTTGACAAATTCACGACATTAAGCATGTAGTTAACATTATAAGATACTGTCAGGATATTAAGTCAATTTTAAAACAATTTTATGTTAATTATTGCTATATTAATGTAACCATCTATGACTGAACCGATTACTACATGCTATCTGGGATTATGTCTGGTATTGACAGTGATTTACATAAAAATGTTATTTCCACAAACTTTTCATTTAAAATAAATGTATGTAGGCTATAAACTTATTTTCATGGTTTTGTTTCATTGCTTTTTTTTTTGGTTATTTTGAAGGAAACTTACCCCAAGTTCTGTAAATTTTTAAACTTTAAAATGAAAACAGCTATTTGTGCTCAAGAGAGAAAAAAGCACATACACAGACATTAATTTGTTAATTGTTTTGTGCAGTATATATTATTTTCTTCTAATCTCAATCTATGTGATTCAGAATGTTGTGTTTGTTCAGTTTGCAGACAGATGTTCTGATTCAGATTCAGTTCAGATAAGGTGTTTGTGAGGATATTCTGACAGATCCAGTCATGAAAGGGTCCAGTTCTGCTCGTTCTGCTCATTGCTGGACAGAATCAGACCTGCTGGAGGAGACTGAAGATGTGCAGCAGGATTCTCATCATGAGTCAGTGGATGATGTTCTGCAGAGAGTCAAAGTCCAGCACAAAACCAGTATGAAGAACAAGTATGAGAGATTATTTGAGGGACTGCAACTCCAGGAGAATGAAAGCCTCCTGAACAGCATCTACACACAGCTCTCTCTATGTGTTTTACTACTATGTAAATACAGCTACAGAAGCACTAACAATGTTTGCTGCTCTTCATAATTTGCTTAAAGCAGCAGTAGATGAATTCATACAAAATAAAACTGTACATCTGGATCTTTTCCTGCGGTTCCTGCTGGGCGTCTCACTGGAGTCCAATCAGAGACTCTTACAGGATCTACTGACACACACCGAGAACACCTCACAAACCATCAGAGAAACAACACAGTACATTAAAGATAACATTAAACAGGATCATATCTCCACAGAAAGGTCCATCAATCTGTTCTTGTGTCTTCTTGAAGTGAATGATCAGACTCTGTATAGAGAGATTGAGGAGTTTGTGAGATCAAACAAACACTCAGAGAAGAAACTCTCTGCTGCTCACTGTTCAGCAATAGCCTACATGCTTCAGATGTCAGAGGTGATGGATGAGTTTGATCTGAAGAAATACAACACAACACAGGAGGGTAGAAGAAGACTCATACCAGCTGTCAACAACTGTAGAAAGGCTCTGTGAGTATTAAATTCACGTATTATAGTAAATAGACTGAAGTTTTTCTAAAATAGTTTTATTTTCTTTCAGACTTGCTGATTGTAATCTCACAGTTGAGTCCTGTAAAGTCATCGCTTCAGCTCTTCAATCCCCAAAGTCTCTTCTGAGAGAGCTGGATGTGAGTAACAATGATCTGCAGGATTCAGGAGTGAAGCTGATCTCTGATGCGCTCAAGAACCCAAACTGTCAACTAGAGATACTGAGGTTTGTGAGTGTAAATCTGTAGAGTACTACAGACGTTGACCAGTTTTATCAGTTGCTTAAAATCCTCAACAAGATCATGATGCTAGTGTTAGTCTCTCTTTTTTTTTAGGTTATCAGGCTGTATGGTGACAGATGAGGGATGTTGTTATTTGGCTTCAGCTATGAGTTCAAACCCGTCACACCTTAGAGAGCTGGACCTGAGCTACAATCACCAAGAACACTCTGCATTTCAGCTGCGCTCTTATCAAAATGATCCAGACTATGCACTGAAGATCCTCAAGTATGAACACACAGCACTAATACTGACATACTGTCCTCTGTGTGTGTGTGTGTGTGTGTGTGTGTGTGTGTGATCTGAGCTACAATCACCCAGAACACTCAGCACTTCAGCTGCTCTCTCATACACTCAATGACACAAACTGCACACTCAACAAACTCAAGTATGAACACGCAACACTAATACTGACATTCTGTCCTGTGTGTGTTTGTGTGTGCATGTGTGCTTACTTAATTATACTTTGAAAACATGTTTCCCAAAAGTTGCCTTTTTGGGATATTTGATATGTTTAAAAAAATTTCATTTTCATTTTTTTAATTAACACTCCTACAACTACCTCTTCTTTAGAAGAACCGTAAAGAAGAGTTTTAGTTAAATCATTAAAGGCAAGTCCTTAATGTCACCTACATCTCGGATGACCTGAGAGTGAGTAAATTAATAGTAATGTTCATGTTCATGAATTGCTGGACATGATTGTGACTCACTGTTTTATTGTTTTCTTTAGTCTGGACCACAATGGACACTTCAGAATCATACCAGGACTACAAAAATGTAAGTTGTTTTCATTGCTCCCTCTTCTTGCACCATACATACACACTCTTACATATATTTGTTGTCCGAGAAGCTGTGATTCTGTATAAAGGATTTCAGTATCATACGAGGATGTATTGAAAAATTAATGATTCGTGTTTTGTTTCGTTTTTTTTGCATTTGATTTTTATGATGTTCGTGCAATGGAGCAGTACTTAAAGGAGTAGTTTACCCAAAAATGAAAAGTGCTTGTTCACATTTTAATTTTGCTTGTAATGATGGGTCAACGGAGTGAGAATCCATTTGCAGCTTTATTAAAAAGTAGTCAGAGTAATACAGGCAGAGTACAACAGACAGGGTTATCAGAGGTGAGCCAAGAGCAGCGTGACGAGACAGGCAAAGGATCGGGGGGAGTCCAAACAGCAGAGCAAGAGGGACGTGGGCAGGTAGCAAACACACCAGAAACGAGTATAAACAGTCCAGGATCAAACACAGTAATCCAACAGGGAATGTAGGTAACGCTCAGAAATGTCAGCCGGGGCAAAACAAGACTTTGTGAAGAATGAGCGATGGGCTGTGGCCAAGTGCCGGCCCGGCTCCAAAATCAAATCACTGAGGGTGCTTCTTAAAATAGTGAGGGTGCTCTCTATCTCTCTCTCTCTCTATATATATATATATATAAGTGGCGTCTGTTGCTATGGCACAAAGAGCGCTCCATTCATAATCACTAAAAATCTGTCACTCATCATAGTACATTGCGATCTCACAAAGATGCGTTATTATCAATAAAGTTCTCTACACTGCACAACGAATCTCTTATTTACATCACGTCAACACTTTGATATAATGAGATTATTCATGCTGAACACAATACCTGAACGAAAAATCTAACTTCTAACTTAAACGCCTCTGATTCAAGGAATCAACAGATATGTCGGTGATTGGCTACATTGCTTAACGCTGCAAAAACACATTAAAATAGAAATCGATCTCCAGAGCGCAAACCATAATGCACTGGATAGTTTGCCAAATCTACAATAAAATGCCATTAATACAGCTTTAAATGAGGGTGCTTTTGATTACGTTAGAGGGTGCTTAGCACCCGCTAGCACCCCAGTAGAACTGGGCCTGGCCAAGCGGCAACCTTCCGGTCTCTCTCGTGAAACCAACACGGAAGTGACTAAAACTGCAATTCATCAACTGGCCGCTAGGGGCTGGCTCCAAAAGGGAGTCAGTCCCATAGACTCCCCATGTTAAAATGCCCAACTTTACAGCAGAAAAAAATATATTTACAGCCTGGTACAAAAAGTGGTTTTGGTCTACATAGCTAATTTTGCCCTTCATGACAACTGTGAGGTGGGGAATTTTTTAATAACTCATCCGTTTAAAGGGGTCCCATTATGCTCTTTTACAAAGTATTGATCTTGTTTTGGGGTGTACTAGAACAGGCTCTCATACTAGGTTGTTCAAAAAACACAATTTTTCACATATTTTACATTATTACAACACCTCTCTCCCCAGTCTGGCATGAACGGCTCAAATAGTTCCTCTATCAAATGAAGGTCCGATTTCTGAAATACGAAACGTGCTGTCATCGGTTAGCTGGGCCAGTGTGTGCTGTGATTGGTTAGCTGGGCCAGTGTGTGTTGTGATTGGTTAGCTGGGCCAGTGTGTGTTGTGATTGGTTAGCTGGGCCAGTGTGTGTTGTGATTGGTTAGCTGGGCCAGTGTGTGTTGTGATTGGTTAGCTGGGCCAGTGTGTGTTGTGATTGGTTAGCTGGGCCAGTGTGTGTTGTGATTGGTTAGCTGGGCCAGTGTGTG